TTATCAGGGGCCACCAGCAGGGACTCAGGGAAAGTCTGTTCATCAGGGCCCCCCTTGGAGTCACCAGGAACAATGGCCACAAGCTGAGGGAGGATAGGTGTAGGTCAGATATTAGGAAGAACTACTTCACTGTAAGGGTGGCCAGAGCCTGGAATAGGCTTCCCAGAGAGGTGGTGCTCTCACCTTCCCTGGAGATCTTCAAGAGGAGACTGGATAGGCACTTGGCTGCGGTCTTATGACCCCTGCCACCCCCAGTGCTCCTTCCTGCACATGGCAGGGGGTCAGACTCGATGATCCGTCTAGGTCCCTTCTGACTCACTGATTCTATGATTCTTCTCTCCTGCATCTCTTTACAAAAAAAGAACTACCGTATTTCAACTCACCTCATATTTACGGGGGGAAAAAAAGCTAGTCTGCAAGTCACAGCAAACTGAAATATGTGGAATAATCCAGGAATGCTTTGAGATGGAGGAAGTCTAAAACAGAAACCTCATCTTAGCCTAACTAGAAAGCAGTAGCAGTGCTACCATAATAACCCTACAAGACAGTACTTACACACAGTTTCTAGCAGCCAGGTCTTTGTGAATGACCTCCCTTCTGGCCAAATAGCTCATTCCACAGGCAATCTGAATAGCCATATGTACAAGATCCTGCTGGGAAATTGCCTACAAAAGCATAGAAAAACAATTACCACAAAATCCTCGGAAGCATGAGCTCAGTGTCTGCTACCTAGGGACTGTCTCGAAATTTTAAATTTCCTTGCCATATTTTACCCGTCTTCCTATTTACAACCTCACATGCTGCAGCAGGCCTTCCAGAACAGCAAAAGTCACTGAGTTTCTTACCAGTGTCTGACATGCATTCCTTGACTATTTCTGATTAAACATTAAGTTAGCCGTTAGGTAACACAGTTTGAAGTGTTTTAGCGCTCAATTTCCTTCAATAGTCATCCATCAAATCAAGGATGGGGGGAAGAATTTTTGACCAACCAAGATAACAGTCTCCTCCGCACACTTTTTACTGCTTGGGGAATAGTCATCTTTAGTAATGGATTATGACCAAGCCCCCAAGTACCCTGGCGAATCCACCCATACCACAGATTTGTACTTCAGATTCCCTGCTCTGTTACAATAAACAATTATATCGTTTTAACAGATTTGTGGGTAACTGATAATCTGGAATTGAATAAACTGAGCCCAAATGTTAAAGCACAGCAGGCTAACAATATTACAGTGGTTTTTCTTCATATTTAATACATTAATAATGAATGAAAAAAATTGAACTGCAGATAAATTTAGAGTTTGCCAAATTAATTGTTAAAGGTACTTGTAAAAGCAGAAGAAGAATAGCTCCCTGGGATCAAGGTTACAAGGTACGAAATATTTTCCACTCTTACATTAAAGGCAGTATGGTCACAGCTGTTTATTAAAAAAACCAGTTGAAGAAGATATTTGGATCAAGCATCCTTAAATCAACAGGACATAATTGCTATCATGTTGGCAGTGTTTTCCGCCATACTTTTCCTGGTACATAGACAATAAGCTCTTATATGAAAGCAAATATTGAATAGGCTGACATGAGGGCTGGGGAAGAAGACAGTATTAACAGTCCGCACACTTGCATTTCAGAGATCACACTGCAAAGTAACAAAAGCAGAGTTAATCACCACGTACAGCAAAGTAAACAGAAAGGAAGTCCCTTGCCACTTGGCAGGTATTTAAGTGCATCATACTTGGTTGACTTACTGATTTCAGTAAGCCAAACGTACTTTGTTTTTTGGACTAAAAAGTTAATCACACGCTAAAAAAAACAAGCAGAATTTTCCAAAGGAAAAAAGATTAAGAGGAGCCCTACCAATAACATTTTTTAAACTCTGGCTTTCTTCTCATGAGAGTTTTGTTCTGGTTCATTTCCATTTGAGACACTGAACACTTATTATAAATGACATTAGCACATACCTTTGAAAACACTCCCTTGCTGACCACCATAAATTCTCATCTAGTGAATGTTGCCAGACACAATTAGCCTGTGTACCCTATCATTTTAGGCAAGATTTTCTCTAAACACCGAGACATTTTTATACTGAATTTAGTAACAAATGCTTTTGCAGGTTGCACAGTTCTGTCTCTGCCAAACGTGAAACTACATAATATAACCAGGAGGGATAAAGTCCACCTACGCTTAGTGGTCTATTATATTAAGATCCTTGAAAGCACACCAGTTTCTGTAGTCAATAGTAGGCAAGAGGACTGATATTCACATCACACTCAGCCATTTTTGAGTCCCCAGCCACAACAACAAGATAGCTATTTACAGGTGGGCGGGCTGACTGTGGGCAGCCATTAGTACCAGTCTAGAGTGAAGAACAACTGATGCCTCTAAAGTTTTAACAAGGCACTCCCCCCTGCCTTGCATAATAGCAAGGACTTCTTCTCTCTAGTAAGGATCAAATTGGTTTAAAATTGCCTGAATTTTTAAAGCCTGTTAATAAGGGAAGTATTAAGAATACTCATGAAAATGTGTTGATTAATGCATAAACATAAGATTTGATCTTGTTTAATGAAAAGTATATCAGGTTGGAGACAAAATTCAAGCAGTGTCAAAATTAAGGTTAGGAGTATAGGTTGTAGCCATGTTGGTCTAAGGACATAGGCAAACAAGGTTCTTTGAGTCAAATCTCCTATCCCAGGTAAAAGACATTGGATTTACCCAAAGAACCTTGTCTGCCAAAGTTAAGGTTACATACACAACTTAATACAACCCTTACTATTAAATACTATGACAATATACCATTGTTTCTCAATTTTACTTTTTTAAAACAGCTTAAAGATAAACCTGTGTAGCATCTGCTATTGCACAATTCCCTGCACAGGCAAGAGAAGCAAAATAATTTATATGCCAGGTATGTAAGGAAATGATGTACAGGCATATAAATTGGGATGACTGCAGTGCATACATATTCAAGTTGCAGACAGAACTGTAACTGTGTATTACCTGACTGGAGTGCTAAACCATGCAATTGTAGCTTTCTACGCTTCCTAAACGCTTAAATGAAATACAACCCAGATTGTGGTTATTTGACTCTACACCTGCAGCATAAGGTAAAGTGCGCACGCAGAGAAACCAAGGGATTTTATGGCCTTCCTAAGTAAGCCTGAACTGTCTGCATCTTAAACGAGGTAGGGCTTCCACAAAATGCTACTGCTTTCATTGTATATTTTAAGAGTGGGATCACACTGACAGATAGTTACTACAGAATGTTGCATTCCCTACCAGATGCATGAATTTATAGGGCTATCCTAAGGGACGAGGCACACCATGCCAGTGGAAGCTAGGGAGTGATCATACCTTGAAGACTAGGCACATGTTCATCTATGGATTTAGGAACGCAATGCAGGGCTGCTTTATTTGAAATTCACAGCCCTGCTTTGCAGAATCTAACAGAGAACTTCATTAACAAAAACAAACCCTTCAGCAAATAAGCTAACAAATCCTTTCATGAGGACCTGAGGCATTCAGCATTAAGATGCTTTAAACTATAGACAGAATGCAGAGTTAAGTGAAGCATATGAAAGACTCCCATCTTCCAAGAAAAATGGGAGTCTGCAACCAGCTTTGATAAATGCATTGACTATCCCCCCCCCCGAGATTCTTAAAATGAATCATTGCAATGGCTGCTTTTCAAATTCTAGTTAACAAGCTTTCCATATCATTCAAACCTGAGGGGGCGGAGAGGGAGGGATGGGGGGAGAGGAAACCATCTTTCACAATATACTCCATAGTAAGAGGTTGGTAAAGTCTGTGCAAGTTCTGCAGAAACTAAGCCTTAAAAATGACCGTCTCACCTGAGGGTTGTTGGCCTCTACTAACTTGCACTGTCGCAAGAACAGCTTAAGATTCCCCCAGTTCATGTAAGGCAGCAGCACCATGGGCTTCTCTCCCTCTTCTATACAGACATGGGTGATAGGGAGCAGATTCCTGGAAGGTGAAAGTAGATATTCCTGAGTTTTGAGAAGTGAAATTTGGTGAAGTTAATGAGACACTTTGGCAGTTAAGAACAACACTATAAAGGACAGTGGATTTAAAGAGCAAGAAAGTGGAAGAGTCAATTTAAGGCATGGGTGTCAAACATGCTCCAGGGGTTCCTGGAAGGGCCTTATCTCTGCTGCTCAAGCTGACAGCAGCTCAAGATGCTGTAAGGGTTAACACCACTGTCATTTCTGCCCCACCACCCAATTCTTGAGTAGGGAGGCCTACTGAGGACTATTTTTGGTGACAGCAAGGAAAGCAAGAGGTGTTGACCCCCCCAGCTCCACAAGCTGCTGTGTTGGTTCAGAGAGCAGTAAGAATCAGGTGGGTCCAGATCAGGACCGCCAAAAAACCCTGGGTCTAAGGTAACCTGAAGCTGTATGCTTAAGAATGTCTCCAAACATTTGAGTTTTCCATTAAGAAAAATATATATTGCATGGACAAAAAACAGATTGAAGATAAAAGCCTGGTAATACAGAATCTATCTTTTTTTCACAATGAATTATTAATCTTGCTTTGCTTTAGAAGTGCACCACCTTCAAAATGCACCTATACATGAAAATATTCCATTATATTAAATACAGAAGCTGAGTGGAAAGACCACCCACATTTCAAACTCACAAGATATTTTGGTATTACGGTCGTCCCATCCCCAAAATGGGAAGAGCTGAAATATAAAGATTTCAGAGAACAAAGAACTGCAATTTAAAAGTGCCTTTGGAATCTTTAATCAAAATATTTCTACTTTGAAAAGTCCACTCAACATTAAATGGCATTCTAGGAGCAGAAGTGTCCTTCGGGAGCTTTACTTCAGGGGTTTATGCCTGTGGGCTGACCTGAAAGCTCCCATGAAACACTCCTGGTACATCCCAGATCATCAGTCTCAGTGTCAGCTAAGCATCTAAGTCTGGTGCCCCAGTTTATTATACAAGGTATGTATACAGACTAAGTAAGAGACTGGTCATATCATTCTACGTAGGCAGAGAAAAATTACACAAGTACTTCCTTTGAAAGCATATGTATTTATTACTTGAACCTGACCTTCTATGGTTAAACTAGACCTTTATATTATGCACGATTCCACTCAGATAAGCACCTTTTTTAAACAGGTCAGTAAAGAACTCCTTGTTTTTGTCTCGATAATTCTTTCATCAAACTCCTTTATGTTACAAGTAAAAAGATTAATTGCTAGTCCACATCAGCCTGGATTTAATCAAGCTAAGTTCCTTCCTATTCGCATTACCAGTAATAGATTCCAAAGGCCAATTTTCACCCTCAGTGGTATTTGTGAAACGCCCTTTACTGAGAATTACCTGGATGACTTGCATAAGTCTTTCCAATGAATGTAGTCATCCCCAAAGTCTTGCCAGCAACTCCTTTAGACCACACCACAGAATTAAGCACTCCTAGGTTCGCAAGCATAAATCTTACCAGTGGTGTTTCAATGATCTAGACAGAGTGGAATGGGTGCAAAGAGCCAAGATAAGTACTCAAGCAGGACTACAGGTGTCGCTGCATGGAGACCTTTCTACTACAGTGCTGGAGAGCGCCTACAGAGCTACATTTAGCACTCCTGGCTATGGCTGGAAAGAACTTGAGCGTGGATGGAGCCGAAAAATCACAAAGCACCTATGCAGCCTCCTTCACATCAGAAAGGAAGCATAATGTAACAGAACACAAGTTAGCAAATGCCTGCAGCACCATATGGGAATCAGATCATGAAGTGTGCACCAGGTATGCTTTATGACAGGATGAGTGCCTAACATATTCTTTTGTGCAGTACTGTTCATTCTAGAGGAGCTTTTCAGCTTTTTTGGCTGAAATTCTGCACATCTGGTAAGTGTGGAAGTCATTTTTTGTTGATATTCTTAGCAAAGGAGTATTTTTAGGTTACACAGATAGAATTTAATTTCACTCCTGTTACATCACTTGCACATTATATTGCTTACCTATGATGAAGGCCCCTGAGTTTACAGCTTTCTGTCAGCATCATTGTCACCTGCACTTCTGAGGCCTGATCTAAAGAATATCAGGAAAAAGAACTATGAATATAATCATCCGTGGAAAGTGAACAAAGAGTCATTAAAACCCTGCCACAAACCTGGTATAACAACAAAATCGGGTTGGTCTGTGCACAACTAACCAAAGTTAACTTCCAGAGGACACAATTAAAAAATAGTAAAAAAGTGAAGAGGCTTAAGATCCTTATGAAAGTATATAGCTACACTGCATAGAAAATAAAGAAGTAACATTAACTTTGGTTAACTTGTAGTCCAATTGCAGATGCATACAGGTACCAAATCAGCTCCAGTTGTACTGAAATATTTTCAGCTTTAACTCAAGGCTAAAAGATACCACTCTTATTTATTTCCAGATTGTTTTAACTTTTAATTGGCCTCATCCAATATATCCTTGAGCTCTGGTACTCTGAACTTTTTACCATTCCACTCTATTTTTCCCAAAAGCTTCCCCTACAATTAAAATAACCCAACAGTTATGAAGGGGACTCTACAAGTCAGCACAGCTACTGCACGGATTGGAAAAACCAACAACAAAACAACAAGAAAAACCACATAAACTAGTAATCAATTTGTTTAAGTTTGTACATTTCTCTCCCCTGACTTCTAAACAGCTAGTCCTAAAACCAAAGCTAATCTCAAATGGTTATGCAAAAATTTGATAAGTCATCATTTCTGGTTCATGCTTCCAACCAACCATGAGTTTTTCCTACCCATGCACATGCATATCCAAACTGCCTGAAGTCATTGAGTCTAAGAAAATTAAAAATACACTCTTGTTTACACAAATGTCTAATATGCAGTTAGATTATACAAGATAAATGCATGTGCCCTCATGGCTTGCAACTGAATTGGCTAATTATTTGAAATAAGCCCAAAACTTCCTGTCACGCATGTCAACATCCATTGAGTGGTTCGCACCTTAAAACTTCAGCATTTAGTACTAGTCACCAACAGACTGAGTAGACCACTGGTTCAATATGGTACGGTAACTCTATGTTATTGCTCAATTTCCACAGACCTATTGCATTCAAAAGCAACCTGACAAGAAGGGACAGGGACATAGGTCCAGAAGGGACCTCCCAAGCCACAGTCCAGCCCCTCATATCTGTGGGCAACTAGTAACCCAAGGACTCGCCACTTCAAACTTACTCCCCGCCCCCATCTACAATTAACAATACCCAAAACACCAAGAATGCTCCATTATGTGTACCTGGATAAAAGAGTGTAGAGCAGGGGTGGGCCAAATGCATGCTGCCAGGCCATTCTATCTGGCCTGCGGGCCCCCTAAAAAATTTGGAAAATTAATATTTATCTGCCCCTGGCTGCCCTCGATGGCTTGCAAAAACTCAATCAGCGGCCCTCTGCCCAAAATAATTGTTCGCTCCTGCTGTAGAGATTTGGTCAGAGGTACAAGAAAACACACATTTTTGAGCCAGGGATGTGCTAAAGAGGTGTGAAGATGTTCGGAGCTGGGAAAGGACTGGAAACACTAACTAGGTTAAGTGCAAGAAGGCCTTGGTGAACTAATGGTGGTGTAGGGACAGAGAAGAAAAGCTCGTCATAGATGCAGCTGGAGGGGGAAGGAAATGCAACGATTAAATACCACCAGACAAGGCATGTCTTAAAGAAATGTCGTAGTCATGGGCAACCCCTGGATTCAAGAGTGATCTCTACCATGAATCACTGACAGGTCTTGAGGTAACTTGTAAATCTAATTTTTGAGCCCCAGATCCTACTCCCTTCTTTCCAACTGCTCACCAAAATCTGATTTCCCAAACTGTGCCCACAGGCACATCTGAATATTATTTCTCATGATCAGAAATCAAACTGCTCATCTAAACTTCAGGACGGTACCTATTGGCAAATCCTTCAGTGATAAAGGTATCAACCATCTCAGTTTCTTGAACCATCCAGAATTGCAGGAATGTGTCCTAATGTCCCAGGGGACTTCCCAGGAATGGGACATCTGGGTCAAACTACATTTTTCTGCATCTCCTGAGAGGACATAGCACAATGCTGTCTGCCACAGAGGGAGCGTGGTTCGTTAGCTTCCAGGTCTAGAGACAGTGGTAGGCTATCTAGTGAATCAGAAGCATGGAGGCCAGCTAATTAGCTCTGCCCCTCAGACCTGCGTGACTACAGCTTTACTACTACTTATGTCTACTGGAAGGCAGAGAGGCTTAGCTTGTGCGCAGTGTTTCTCCACAGAGTTTATTAGCTTTTCCCATTACAGGGGACACATTGCTTTGCTGATGCCCTTCCTTTCTCCATCCAAAATCCCAATAACGGCCCACTGAAGAACTGCCTGTATGTTCCATTGTTTCCTGTCAGCTCAGAAAGAATATTATATTTTTGGGGCTGGGCACCCAAAGTACGATTGACTCCCATTTAAGTAGGTATGGAAATCCAAATCTTATCTTGTGAAACAGTTCCAGCATCCGTATTGTGTTTTCTTATCAATATTATTTCCTTGTTTTCTAGAAGTCAAACCATTCCTGCAGGAAAATAAATTATATACAATTCAACACATTCTCAACAAACAATAGCAATTCAGGGCCAAATAGTGTTCTTCAGTACACCAACATCAATCTATCTGAACAACATCGGAGTAAATCATTTTGAATTTAAAACAAGCTGCAACTCAGAACAGAATCTAGCTCATAATTTCCAGTTTCTCCTGCAAAAAAAGTGACTTGAGGTCAAATGGATAACTGGACAGGAACAATTTTATTAAGTCACCTGTCCTTTTATAGCTATTTTCCTTAGTTATGCTGGCCAAAACATTAAAAATGGTGCATATAATTAGGTTCCAAGAACCACGTTTAGAAGACCAAAATAGCTGGACTGTAAAGAATTCTGAGCACACAGATGCACCTTTGGATTTCCCGTTTTGAATTGTTGTCATGCTCATAAGGATCATTATGACACCACCTGTTATACCCAACACAGAAGGTCTAGAACTGTGGTGAAGTTTTTGCAGTGGTTTTGTATCGACTGTGCTATTTCTTAGCTTCATAGCTGTTAGGGGTTGGAAGGGACCTTACAAGATCATCATGTCCAGCTCCCCTGCACTTGGGCAGGAAAGACTGTTGGGATCAGACGACCCCAGCAAGACAGGCATCAAGATGCTTGTTGTGAACAACGAAGTGGAAAATGCTTACTGGTATCTGCTTAGAGCCCTGCTCCAAGCCTTGGAGAGATTCCCTTCCCCACCCTGTTGCTGTTCTGAGAAAATGTACAAAAGGCAGTATTATTTGGAGTTTCTTCAGCACCTATGTTCTCAGGCATAAAAAAAGCTACATTTTAAAAGCAATACTAGGACATGCCTGCACCTGTAATTCTAGCTTTGTGAAAAATTTCTGTCATACCAGACACCTTCATAGATTCACAGATTGTAAGGCTGGAAGGGACTTTGGAAGATCATTGGGTCCAGCCCCCTGCACCAGGCAGGAAAGATAACTGGGGGTCAGGTGACCCCAGCAAGGTGCCCGTCCAGTTTCCTCTTGAAGATTTCCAGAGTAGGCAATTGTACCACCTCTGGAAGAAGCTTATTCCACAGTCTGGACCCTAGTTGCAAAGTAATTTTTCCTAATGTTGAGCCCAAAACGGTCTTCCAGGAGTTTGTGAGCATTACTCCTTGTTTTCCCCAAGGGTGCCCTGGTAAACAGTTGTTCACTGAGCCCTTGATGTACTCCCCTGATGTAGTGGTAAGCTGCTACCAAGTTCCTTCTCAGCCTTCTCTTTCTGAGGCTGAGAAGTCCTGGATCCCTCAGCCTTTCCATGTAAGGCTTGCTGCGCAAGTCTCTGATCATACAGGTGGCCCTTCTCTGGACTCTCTCAATCTTTACCAGGTCCTTGTTAAAGTGCGGTGCCCTGAACTGGACACAGTACTCTAGCTGCAATCTCACCAATGCCAAGTAGAATGGAAGAATCACTCATTTGGTTTTGCTGGAGATGCATCAATTGATGCATGCCAGGGTACTGTTGGCCCTGCTGGCTACAGCATTGTACTGCCGGCTCATGTTCAGACAGTGGTCAGTTATTACCCCCAGGTCCTTTTCATTTGTAGTGCAGGTCAGCTTGGTGTTGCCAAGCCTGCAGGTGTGCAAGGGACTGTTCATCCCCAGGTGCAACACTTTACATTTCTTGACATTGAACTTCATCTGGTTCTGGTCCGCCCAACTTGCAAGCCTGTCTAGGTCCGCATGTATCTGCAGCCTACCTTCAAGTGTGACGCTTCCCCATAACTTGGTGTTGGCCGCAAACTTGGCCAGTGAGGTCTTCACCCCGTAATCACTGTTGAAGAAGATGTTGAATACTACTGGACCATGCACCAAACCCTGCGAAACACCTCTGGCCACTTCCCACCAAGATGACACAGATCCATTCATTAGGACTCTCTGGGTCTTACCCCGCAGCCAGCTTCCTACTCACCTGTCTCGCAGTTAAGCCCACAGTCTCCTAATTTTCTCGCGAGAACATTGTGGGATACCAGATCAAAAGCTTTTTGGAAGTTAAAATCAGGTTAAATCTTTTAGAATCTCAAATAGACAATTCAGATGTGAGATGTTATGCTCATCCAGAATCTTTGTGCATCTTAAGTAGCTACCCAGGCATACATTAACACAATCAATGGTATAAAACAAAGAATAAGCCAAAAAGTTTTTATAGAGGAGAGGATGTGTGGCCAGACTGAGGCTCCACAGCACAAGAGAGCCCTTGCACTCCTGAAGCTGGGAACTATCAGCTAATCAGGACTCCCAGCTGTGGAGCATCACTGACAGATGAGGCTCCACAAAACTGCACTGTTCGAGATATCTGTTGATTCATCTATTTGAAGTGCAAACAACTGATTTTTTCAAATCGGGCAATAAGCTGAAGTCCCACCTACATGACCTTCGAGTCCCACCAGTGGGACACATCCCACTGGTTGAGAAACACTGGTCGAGAAACACTGGTCTATATGACCATGTGCAGTCTCTGCTATAAAGCAGGATG